TCATTTTAAAAAACGGATTTGAATTCACTTTTTTTTAAAATTTTTACTTTCACTTCTATTTATATTTTATCTGTACTTTGGATTGTATTCTACACTTTGATAAGAGGTTAAAATTCAGACTAAGATAAAGATTTGTTCGCTCGTGTTCATAAAACAACAACGTAATATATTACAAACAAATTAAGAGTTTGACATGAAAAGAAACACGGGCATAAATGCTTCTGAGTTAGGGATGTCATTTTGGAAAGAAGCAAAGGATAAACTAACAAAAATTGTTAGGGGAAAATATTGGAACTCACAGTATACGACAGAGATCCCTATAAAAGGGAGGTTGTTGATGTATACACAAATAGAGTTTTTGTTCAGATAGTTTAGCATTTAATATTTTCTCTCATAACTATTTGTCTCGCTAAGAATAAAATTAGGAACCTATGGTCTAATGATATAAGAATTCATGTTAACGAGAGGTTTCGCGTGGCACTACGACCGCTACGACAAATCGATAGAAATTTAGAGAGGTAAATGGATAAAATAGATAGTCTGTCTAATTTGTTTACTTATTCTTAAACACAAACTTAACAAGTTTACAAATAAATAAGTGTATAATATATATTTACTTATTCTTAAACACAAAATTAACAAGTTTTCGAAAGTATTCATCTTCTCTCCATGAAATTTCATCAAATTAACAAGTTTTTTTTACATTTTCACGAAATTAAAAAGTCGAATAAATGAGTTAAGATAATGATACCGTATATAAGTTACAAGAAACTTATTTTGTATTATAATAAGAGGTTCTTCTGACAGAACAAATTCTATAATCTTCTCTTTCCTCATCACAATTATCTACAAAGTGTAGTAAGCATTATTAGAAAATATTAATAATTTACATCGATAAACACAGAAGAAAGTAAGATACTAATTTATGTATTTATATGTAAATAACTAACTTAAGTTACCATTTGTGATAAAAATGTAAAAACAATTCTACACATTTTAAGCTTTAATATTATACGATATATGTAGTATTTACTAAATATATTGGTAATGATTATTGATTAATATTTTTTTTTTGGTATAAATTATTGATTAATATTACATATTGATATTCCTTTCTTTAGAAATGTTAGGTTAGACTATGATGACCGTATAAATGGTAGACAAGTTTTACCTTTTCTTTTTTGTTAAAGTTTTAAATTTCTGTGTAGAACTTTAAAATTGTTAAAAAAAATAATAGAATGCCAAATATATATATTTTTTATTCATATAAATTATATATTTGATTGAAATGGGGCCAATTCAATTCAATCTCATTCCAATTTACGAGAGATTTGTTATCAAATATTGGTTTCGGTTGGTCAAATCAAACCATCCATTTTAATACGATTATTGAAACAATTATATGATTTGAAATTCGTAACGTTAGTTTAGTATAGATTTATAATAATTTAATTATAAAAAAAAAATCAACCTCAACTCGGCTCATGGATAATAGCTTTCTCTTAACACTATGTTTATATTAAAAACAAATTTAATTTTAACTTTTTTATTAGCAAAACCAAAATTAGATATCTATCTATTTTACTCATTTTACCGTGCAATGGTCATAGGAGTTGTAATCTCACGCGAAATCATAGGTACCTCTATTCTTAACAAGACAAGTGATTATAAAACTAAACGAAAACTCCATTTGCACTTATGCCGACTTTATTTTTATAGGGTTCTCTATCATATACGTAAGTTTCATTGTTTTCCGTCTACCAATTTTGTTATCTCATATTTTATTTTACCTAATATTCTTTTTTTAGAACTTTGAAAGT